AAATTGTAGAAAGTAAGTTTTTGTAGGATTTAGTAGTAATAAATTACTACTAAACCATTTATTTAATTTTTCTAAAACTATATTTATATCTTTTTCAAATCTTGGGGTGTCAGGATTAGTAATTATTAGACTTGTGTCATCCGCAAACAAGACTGGATTGGATACATCAGATATGGCATTAGGCAAATCATTGATATATAAAAGGAAAAGCAAGGGACCAAGTATGGATCCTTGAGGGACTCCTACGGTAACAGGCTCCCATTTAGAGTAGAATTTAATTGAGTCAGAAACAACTATTACTCTCTGGTATCTATCTGATAAATAGGATCTAATTACATCATTAGCCCTTCCCTTAATCCCGTAATGATTCAACTTTGAAAGCAGAATATCATAGTTGACACTATCAAAGGCCTTGTGAAGATCACAAAAAACACCGCCCACAATTTCTTTGTTATTTAAAGCAGTTAAGATATTATTAATAAGATTAATTAACCTTTTTCATGCTTGTGCATCAATTATAAAACCAGTCCCACAATTATCACAAAGAACATCCTCAAATTAAAAAGCTAAAGTTGTCCCTGTGCTTAATTAGTTAAGCACTATGCCATGAAGACTGGGGACTGAGGTATAACTCCACCTTTCTAGGTTTTGGCACTAGTTCTAGGTGAATGGTCAGCTTCATGCCTCTGTTACTTCAGCCTCAGCCAAAGGGCTGCTGGTACTAGTTTGCAACATAAAATATTTGACTTAGCAACTTACAGATACTGAAACAACTATTATTTATCTAAAACATCTTTGAGCATACATCATCCTTTGAGTAGGCAGCCTAGCAGAAGAAAAGTCATACATGTTCAACAAGATCATTGGTATCACAATTTTGGTTCCTGTCATACATTGAAAGTAGAATCTTTTGATACCTGATGGTGCCAAAACTGGACCTATATTACCAATTACTGGAATAGATTTATTGATCAGTGTTAGTTTATACAGCAGCTGTTCTGAATTATAACCATTATTCTATATCCTGTGCAAATTACTCCTCAGTAGCTACTTGTGATCAACACAACATTCCACATTTCTGCCTTCAAATGCTTGTAATCCCTCCCAGTAATGCATGTTCCTTGTATGACATTTTCTGCTTGTATATTTTAATGGGAATTAGTGAAGCCCAGGCTTAAGGTTAATATAAGTTGAAAACTGTACTTTCTGCTCTTACACATTATTTCATATATCAGAATACCACATGCTCACTCACTTTCTGCAGTCATAGATCAGTCACTAATAAGTATGTTCGACCCTCTTAATGCCAAGTCTACAGTAAGTAAGTTTGTTGTAAGTGCCTCTGAAGATGGTTCCTTGGAACCGAAACATGTAAGGCAGATGAGATAAAAAAGTGACCAAAATATATATTGTTGCACTTGACGGAAAATCTATTGACAATTGGTGAAGTCTACAGTAGTTTCCAGGCTGGTTTGTAAGAAGTGAATAGCTCTTCTAAGGAAGATGTGATCACTCAGCATAAAAAATTAAATATTTCATATGATTGCACAATCTTATAACAAATATATAGATTACTTGCAATAAAAAATCATGCTGTAAATATTAACCAAACAAAATTGTGTCAGGATAACAGAACCTGCCCTGTCACCTTGATTAATGAAATTGTTATTTTTCATTTTACACGATTTAGCAGCTGAGTGGGTTTTGTTGAGTAATTAGGAAACAAATGTTAAATAGTAATAATATCAGCATCTGTTGTACAATCCAGGAATAAGGGGGATGTTCGTAATTGTTACCAAATGATGACAAAGAATTGGCACTCTGAAGTATGTATATGAGTCATTTTTCATACATTTCTAATTCTTAATTAGTTTAATGCTATTATTTCAGGTTTTTTATGACCACAGAGGTGAATGGCAGTGATGTGGAGATAAAACAGTATGGCAGTAATGATACTTTGGGGTGAGATGCTTGTTTTGCTTTTCATCCTACTAGTACATTTTTGTAACGGCACTGAAATCCCAAGTTTTATGTTTTTCTTAATGACAGTAGATTTGGATTACCTCAAGAATTTGTGATGCTGCAATGATGGTATTACTGATGGGAGGCATTTATGAAGACTGCCATTGAAGTGGCCACAGGTGACATGATGTACATAAAAATTTCATGACAAGCAGTTCAGGCATCAAGCAATATTAAGGCTATTACCTTAACAGTTTGAGGGGCTGCAATGTTGGTATTACTGATGGAAGGGATTTATGAAATACCCCATTGGGTTGGTCTTAGGTGGAATGATGTGCATTCTGAGTTTCATGACAGTTGGTTAAGGCATTAAAATAGTATTAAGGTTATTAGCTCAACAATTTGAGAGACTGCAGTGATTTTCTTAGTGATGGGAGGGTTTTGTGAAGCATGCCATTGAGATTGTCACATGTGACATCATTTAAAGTTGAGATCGCCTCAGGTGGCATGATACATACCAGGTTTCGTAAAGATCGGTTCAGGAATTCACAAATTAGTGAGGTGATACACACAGTCAGGAAGGTGGTTCCAAAAGCCTACTTCTGTTTTCAAAATAAGGAAAATAAACTGGAAAAATTAACTCTGAAAGCAGTGCAGATTCATCAAGTAATTGACTGGAGTGAAGAATCATGAAACTTGTTGCATGTGAAGAACTAGACAGTGCTAGAAAAGAACAGTGCAAATTTGGGTATCTGGTATAATACTTGTATGTGCCAACCAAGCACAGTTTCTCTTCAAAATGGTAAGACTGGAAGATGAAGTTGGTTAACAAGATTCAAATAGTGGCTTGGTATGCAGGAGATAACTATTCACTGTTACACATTTAAGTGGTGATTAGTGAGCTGCCACTGAATTTCATAGGAGCTCAATTAAATGGAAAATCTAAGAAAATTACAGCTGAAGCAAATTTATAATGATGATGAAGTAGGATTGTTTTGGAAGTTTCTTCCAACACAGATTTCAGCTCTTGAAACTGAATGGTGCCATAGCTGGTTGAAGTATGTAGGTAGGCTGAAAAGTAATGCACACATGCTTGTAGAGCGCGAACGAAATGACCTTCAGAAGTGCGCCAGGTGGCATGTGGAAATAACATTCCCCCCCAATACGCATGCGCAGGTTTGACGTTGTTGCGTTCATCCAGTGTATTTTGAGAAGCCGAAGTATGGAGACGTGTTCTAGTGCTATGTCAACGCGAGTTAAACAGCGTGCTGTTATCGAATTTTTAATTGCTGAAAAAGTGACTCCTACTGAGATTCATCGTCGTTTAAAGGCTGTTTATGGTGACAATGCTGTTGATAGGTCTACTGTAAATCGATGGGTAATAAAATTTCGTGGTTGCAAGCCTGGAAAAGCCATAATTGTTGATGAAACACGCAGCGGACGTCCGATCACTGCCACAGACGATAATCATCGCAAACTCGTCGATGATTTGATTCAAAATGACCGGCGAATCACTCAAAAGCGTATCACAAACCATATTGGAATATCCAAGGAACGTGTCGGCTTCATTATTGAACAATTGGGATACTGATCTGTGCACGATGGGTACCACACCGTCTCACAGACGAGAACAGCGTCGATTGGAATGCTGTGAGCAACTTTTGCAGCGCTACCGTGACGAAGGAGACGACTTTCTTTTGAATATTGTGATGGGGGACGAGTCATGAGTCCATCGTTACGACCCGGAAGAGAAAAGACAGAGCGCTGAATACTGACATCCGTCTTCTCCTCAGGCAAAAAGTTCAAAACACAACCATCCGCCAAAAAACTTCTTTTGACTGTGTTTTGGGATGCTCACCGAGTTTATGTGACCGATTTTCTGGAACAAGGGGCAACGGTAAATTCTTCTCAGTACATACAGACTCTAAAACACCTCAAGACCTCAAGGGTAATCATTACACCTCGGACGATGAGGTGAAGGCAGCTGTCAAGTCCTGGATTCGAGAAAAGTCGGAAGAATTTTTCAGTGACGGAATGAAAAAACTTGTTACATGTTGGGAGAAATGTGTTAGCCTTAACGGTGACTATGTTGAAAAATAAATGTATGCTTTTGAAACTTAAGAATTGTACTTTAATGTACTTTTTGCCCGATCTTGCTATTTGTTTTTGTTCGCGCTCTACAAGCATGTGTGCATTACTTTTCAGCCTACCCACGTAGTTGCCAGCTTCCCACCTTGGCAGGCTATTTCTTGTGTTACATTGATGATAACACATTGAAAACTTGAAGACAGGCAATGCGCTTTTGGGTTTTCTCTTTTGCATTATATATATATAGGATAAATATAGTAGCATTAATAATAGTGATCCATTACACTCTCTGGCTCAAGCCTGTAACAGCTGCTTTCTGAATATACTCTTGCTTGTGGTAGACAACAAAACAATTTAAATTCTGACTTCCATAACATAAATACGAGTATGAGGCAAAAACTCAACTACCACTAACATTTCTCAAAGCTATCTGTATATCAAAAAGGAGTACCCCTTTGGCAGCAAAGTGTTCTATAACCTCCCTAAGAGTGGGGGGAGGGGGGGGAACTAGTAATATTAAGCAATTTAAACAGCATTGAAATGTCACTTACTCACTCCTACTCCGTAAATGAATATATCAGTGTAAACAGACAGTAACTAGTATCAATTCTAAGGTACACTGCGTTCCCAAGCATGTTACTGTATCCTTTCGCTTATTTGCAGTCTTTGCTATATGTATCCAATTAGCATGGTAATATTAATACTTTAATGTATTCTTATTAACTTTTCAAGCAAAACTTTTATTGTACAGATATTATGTGTTTATTTGTATTTGTGCTTGACTTGTCCCATATCCTATGGTGTCAACCAGCAATTTGATTTACGGAACATATATAAATTAAATTCAAATCCAAATAAAATTCAAAGTACATATCTTTCAGTCACCAGCAGTGGCATGTTGTGTTGATCATGAATAAACAATATTCCTGTCTAAAGTATGGTAGTAGTGCTCATTAATATGCCAGGTCTGGATAGTCATATGTTGAACCTGTGTTTGTTTGAGTGCAGTTACAGCTTTCAGGTTTGTGACTTTAATAGAAACTTGCTTTTAACTTCTTATTGATATGCAGTCTGCAGAATATACACAATTTGGAATCACTCTTGTAGGGCACACCACTAGAAACTTAATCTACTGATACAGGAGGACAATTTGCAAGCATTACTCATTCTCTGCAAATTTTATTTTGTACAGATAAATGTTGGCTACTTCATTCTTCATTTATTTGCATTATGTCTCTTCGTTTTTCTTGCATACTGTAATTTGTTATTCAGTAACAGGCTTCCTATACTCTTCACTTTCCACCATTTTTATTTTCATCATCACTTTCACCAGGATGTTAAAAAGTGTAAATAGCAAAGATGACATTCAGCATGTAATTATAATGCAGCTTAAATTCATAAAGTTGCTTGCAGAAAGCAAGCAAGAAAAATCTTGGATTTTTATTGCAGAATTAAAATATCAGAAGCCTTCTGACAGCAAGACAGAAACGGTTAATAGGAAGTATCTCTTGTAAAATTACTGTTGATGTGACTTTGTATGTTAACTTTCAAGTGACTTGTGTAACTTATTGTTTGCAACAATAGGTTTGACCTTGTTACATCACCACTGATGCCAGATCAAGAACATAAATTACGACTCTTCCTTGTTCGCCGTCTTCTTAAAGGAGCAATATATATGGGAACTGGAAACTTCTCAGGAATGGATTTTAGGTATTGTATCAAAGCTAATTGTTACTGTTATTAAGGATTCTGTTCTGTTTATATGATGATGTAAGAAATAAGCCTGCCAGTTGAAATATTGAGGCATGTGAAAAATGATGGTGCAAAAGTCTTAATAAAATTAGATGTGTAATGTATATTGACAATAAGAAATGACTCAGATCAGAAGTATGAGGCTGAAATGTCATTGTGATTACTGCATCATATGCTCTGCTTCTTGATGTGTCCAGTTATATCTTTCCTGTTGCAGTGGTCTTTTTCCCTTCGTTTCCTTTTTCAGTGCATCTTTTGTGTGCTGTACTTCTCCATCATGTTATTGTGTCAAAAATTTCAAAAATAGTTTCACAGTTTTCCTGTCTTTTTTCAGCATTTTATTGTTTTCTCTGGCCTTCTCATTTTCAACCTTATTATATTGTAGATGAGCATGTACCTGTCCATCTGGGCATAATTCACTTCCAAAACTATAAAATGGATATTTATGTAGTGTGCTAAGGGCCTACATGAAGAGTTACTGAATGAATCTTATTTTGGTTTCTGTCAGTTGAGTTCAAATAAGAGTTCATGTCACATTTCTAAAAAAATTATTTGGAACCTTGATTCCCAGGATTAACATTGAAGATATTTACAGTACAGAGTTGATGAGTCTTTAATCACTGGTTGTAACCTGGAAATGCATAACACAGGCCTCCGAAATCCCAACATCAACTCCATTAAGACAGAGGTACACAACACTATGGGAAGTCCATATTAAATATGTGAAAGTAGACTTCCATGGCAGGGGAAAATGGTGGAGATGCTCCCATGCCAAGACCATCTATTTGCCGATAGGGCCATAACTTTCAACTGTTTTTTTTACTGGGTAAGCAACAAAGGTGATAGAAAGTAAATTCAGTATGCATCTCAGATGACAGCACAAACTGGAATACATATGATGAGATATTTACGTGTTGCAATCCAAAAGTTCTTGAAATATATTAATATATTAATATCTTACCTAGATCTTATTCTGCACCATCACCTTCAAAGTAGTCCCCTTGGGAACGCATACACCGATCCCAGCGTTTCTGCCACTTTTCAAATGCATCCTGGAAGTCTTTCTTTGTTAGGGTGTTTAGTACCATCTGTGTTTCCACTTGAATTTCCTCAACTGTATCAAATCTTCGCCCCTTCAACTTGATTTTCATCTTGGGGAAGAGAAAGAAGTCGCATGGAGCTAAGTCTGGCGAGTACGGTGGGTGGGGAACAACTGCCATCTTGTTTTTAGCCAAAAATTCATGCGCAATGTAAGCCGTATGCAGTCGTGCGTTGTCATGGTGGAGTACCCAGTCATTCGTGCGCCACTTCTCTGCACGTTTTCTCCTCATGTTCTCCCTCAAACGCCTTAGAACATCGCGATAGAACTCTTTATTGACTGTCTGACCAGGAGGGACGAACTCCTTATGAACAATCCCGTCAATATCAAAAAAAAGATCACCATGGACTTAATGGTGCTCTTGACTTGTCGAGCTTGTTTTGGCTGAGGTGAAGAAGGGCTCTTCCATTGCGACGATTGCTGCTTGCTTTCAGGGTCGTAGCCATAAACCCAACTTTTGTCACCAGTGACAACCTTCGAAAGAAAGTTTGGATCCTCTTGAAGCTGTTGCTGAAGTTCCCTGCAGACTTCCAAGCGATGCTGCTTCTGTTCATTTTGCAGCAGTCGTGGCACAAACTTCGCCGCAATCCTCCTCATGTTCAGTTCCTCTGACAAAATTCGTTGACATGTACCATAACTTAGTCCCAAGGTGTTACAGAGGTCTTGGATGGTCAGTCTACGATCTTGCAGAATCAGATCCCTAACTTTCGCGACATTTTCTGGTGTTTTGCCTGTTGATGGCCATCCCGAACGATCGTCATCATCAGTCAATGTTCGGCCATTTTTAAAACGCTTATACCAGTTGTAAGTTTGTGTCTGGCCTAAACTGTTTTCACCAAAAGCTTGCTTCAACATTTGGTGCGTTTCTGCAGCGGTTTTCCCAAGTTTGAAACAAAACTTTATACAGACACGCTGCTCTCTCAGGTCAGCCATCGCAAAACCGCAAACTCACGGAAACACAACAATGGAAATACGTTCACCAACAATAAACCCAACCACTCAACTCGACGCCACTTGCCACACCAATTCAAGAAGGATGTGTGAGGAGACACCTACCAGTATTTCTATGTACTCATAACCATTCGTGCGCAAAATTCAAATTTCAGAAACTTTTGGATTGCCCCACGTATATGCAGCGTGACTGTTACCAGCGGGCATCTTATCAGTGCGTGATGTCATATGCTGGCAGCTTGCTTTACTATTGCATTATCCACTAAACAGAGGAATTGAATTAGCCATATTTGTTACAAAGAAATGGTCATAATTCCTAAACCGTAAGCAATGGACTAAAACAGACTGCATTTTTTGAGAAGCTCACATCTATTAACATAGTTCACTCGCAGTATGTCCCGATCCATCTCTTACAGTTTAGCCGTGGCAAGCAGTTGAAAGTCTGTAAAATTAGGAAAATTATTACATGTTTTGGGTAATTTTTTAAACAATGTACAATTTTATTTTGGGAACAAAATAAACATCATTTTTAAATAGCTCAGTCTTTATTCTTTGATTTACATATAACTTAATATGAGATATGCCATAGTTATCAGCAGTTATGTAAGAGATTGCACAATGTTACACTTAGTGTCATTTACAGCTTCATACGTTTGCACCCTTGCATAATGACGTTTTCAGCATTAAAGGAAGGATTGGTCTGTGACATAAAATGCAGATCTCATTGAGATGTGAAGCTTTTGTTTGTATTCTACACCACACTTCAGAATTTCATCTCAGGAATCTGGATTTTATTTGCTGTATATAATACACACACTGTCTACTATTTCATGCATGGGTTTTCATGACAAAAATTTCTTGGATTTCAGAGGGTTAATGTTTATGACGTCTTTAGTCTTTCAGAAAATACCGTTGCCCCTTCCCCAGCTGTCTGCTACTACATTCTGTTGCCATGTCAGCATTCTACACCACAGCAAGTCATGATTTGCTTATTGGCAACTGCAGAAACAAATTTGGAAGTTTTCCGACCAGAGCTGACACAGTTCTGTCAAATGTTGGTGTCTCACATTCCATCTGACAAGGTTGTGAAGCATGCTTGAGTAATCAGACTTTATGTACCCATCATAGTAGAAAGTCCCATTACCAGCACATTGCTTCTCTTAGCATCTGCCATGACAATTTCACAAAATTATGTTAGTTTTGTATATTTTTATACTTACATTTTGCAACCTGAAGTCTTAGCTACAGTTTTCTGTCTTCAGTGTTAATTATTTTATCGTGTTATGATGTTAAAATTATGAGAAGCATAAATTTGGAAAGCAGTTGTTATAACCCACTTCATAAACTGTTGACATCCTATGAAGAAAGTCGTCTTCTGGGTTTAGGCGCTGTGTATTCTTCGTTTTGGCCTATATTTCAGAGCTCTGAAGATGGAGGCGGTACGTTCCTCCGAAACGTCGGCCAAAACGAAGAATACACGGCGCCTAAACCCAGAAGACAACTTTCTTCATAGTCATCGCCGTGAAAAGCTCAAAACTTACATGTTAACATCCTGTTTGCTTTTCAAAACACTGGTGATCAGAACATACAAGTACATACACATATATAAAACAACAATTATTTTTATCATTATAAAATCTTGTCTCACACTGTGAGAGAAGAACATATGAGTGTTCGGAAACATCTGTGACCCTTAGAGGGATAAAGTAAGAGGACAGTGTATGATATTACATGATGGGGAAAATTGTAATGTGCACAGGTTAAACACTAATATCACTAGTATTAGTGAAATCAAGGAAATTATGGTGAGCAGGGTATGCAGCTAAATAGGGGAGACATGAAATGAGTACATAATTTGATGCAAATACCTGTTATGTAATGCCCAGTGTGAGTACCAAGAACAAGATTGTAGATCTTTATTGTTTGCATCCTGTTGTGTGTTATCATATATGGTATTCTTAGATGTATTAGTCAACACAACAGTAGAATTGTTGTGTTGACTGATACATTAAGAATACCATATATGGAATTGTAGATTACAGAAGATGGATTTACAGACTTGGTTTGTGAAGCTAGGTGGATAGAGTTGGCTTGGGAGTATATTTGTGGCGGGTTTTGGTATGAGCAGTGTACAACCTTTCGGTTCCACTACTAAATCATTAGTTTGTTTAGTTAGTTACTTTTGTATCTTATATCATCAAACAAACTAATGTGAACTTTGGTATTTCCTCAGTTTAATTTAAAAGTTCTGTTATATAATTTGTGAACAACTTGACAATATGAACAATATGATCTCATAATATATGCAAGAAGTTCTGGAAAGAACTAATTGCTTACTTCCTTTATGTGACATGTGCCATACAGAAAATGAAAAAATTTTGGAACACACACACACACACACACACACAGACAACAAGGTGCCATCATAAGCTTTGATATGAGCTTTTGTGTTTAAATTTTTGTTATAGTATTTGTGAACAGCTTGACAATATTAGAAATGGTCTTATTCATACTGTATTTTTGAGTGCTTTTCATTTCATTTAAGTTGTCTGAACTTGAATATAGTTAAGTGTCTGTAGTATAGTATTGTGAATTCAGAAGAATAAGAGTAATTAATAGCTCTTGCTCTTAGGAGAAGCCACTTCCAGTGTCTGCATCTGCTAGGCTGATGACATGGTACAGCATCTGTCTACAGTACATTGGTAGAGTGCTGCGAGAATTAGGTCAAAATGTCTCATCATTGCTGCAACTGGTAAGAATCTCATGCTGTATGGATTAGTTATCTGTAGTGATTAGGAAACATCAGTTTCAAAATTAATGTAAAGCATTGGTTGATGCATTGTATTTGAACTTTATCATGTCAGCAGCCATTCCCATCCAATGATTGGTAGTATGTACTGTGAGACCTAACCATCACACTGGGTCTTATAGGAGTTAATGAAGATCTTGTTCACTCCCAAGAGCTTACAAACTTCCTTAATGAGTCAAAGTAAAATTTTGACCCCTGTCACTTAGTTGAATCTTACATACTGCCAGTTGAGAAACGTTTTAGTTACAATAGCCTATAGCACCACTGGTGCTTCCTGGGTGGGAAAAGGTTTGCCTTTGCCCTCTGGTCAGATGATCCATGTAAGTCAATTAATATCTGTGACACCAGCTACAAATACTACTGCTGACTCCCTTGCTTCAGGCAAGCCTCCTGTGGGTGCTGCAGTGTATTGTTTGGACTCAGTGTGATGTTGTACACTGATTGCAAGCTCACTTTTAACAGAACCAGACATTGAAATGCGGAAAATAGAGGAACCCGTAAAATAAAAAACAGACTGGAAAATAACTGTGTATAACACCACACCGACTGGTTCCAAACAACACAACCGCTTCGTAAGAGAATTAAACAAAAATAAGAACCAAATCATAACCAAAACAATGTCTGTAACATCATGATTGCAACGACAAACATTAATATATAACAATACATGGGACATCCAAACATGACATAACAATATCTTAACTCACTAAGTGTATTTTATAATTTTAAACCTTTGTANTCATGAACTACATACAGTGGAACCTCGCTTAACGAGCACCTCTCATAATGAGTAATTCGCATAATGAGCAAAACAAATTGTAAAAAAATGACTCGCTTAACGAGCGACGTTTCGCATAACGAGTGACGAGAAGGGAAGTCCCGGATTGTGTGCTTGCTACATCAGTCTGTGTTTAGCACTCGTTCCGCTAGCATCTTAGTGTCGCTTGTGATCACACATTTTTCACACCTTGTGTTCAGACATATTATTTGTGATTCTTTTTTGTGCAAAGTTTACTAACCCTTGCAAAAATGTCCCCAAAGAAAAAGCCGCAAAAGAGAGCCATAAGAGAATAAAAATAACCATAGAAACGAGAACAAGGTGTGAGCGTGGCTGATGTAGCACACACATACAATCGGTCTACATCAACGATTTGCACGATTTGGAGTTGCATTGTGTTTCACAGCAAGAAGTTGTGGAGGAGAGTTTGTCAGAGGAGGAGGAGGAGGTAACAGCAAAGTAACAATCTTCTGGCGCAATAAGAGAAATGCTGAAAGCATGGGAAACTCTCACATCATACATTGAGAAGCATCACCCTAATAAGGCAGTGGCCATGCATGCTACAAATTTATTTAATGATAATGCTGTGTCGCATTTTCACCAAATTTTGAAGTGTCGGCAAAAACAAATGTCTTTAGACAGCTTTCTAGTAAAAAAGAATTAGATATGTATCATAAATAATAAACTAATTATTTCGATTTTTTTTTCTGCAAATCGAATTCGCCTTCCAGGTTGGTTCATTCCACATAGAAGAAAAGATGAAGATAATTCACACTCCTTAACAATATATATATAATTTTCTTTGAATAAACATTATACATAACATTTTTTGAGTATTTTTTTTCAGCATGGAACGCATTATCGTATTTTACATTAATTTATATGGGAAAAATTGTTTCACATTTCGAGTAAGATTCTGGAATGAATTATGCTCGTTAAGCGAGGTTCCACTGTATTTTAAATACATTTTTACTGTTGTATGAACATCTGTAAACATCAATTCACATGACGTTTTTATTCTGGTTGAATGGATATATAGGAGCAGTAATGGATTTAATTTTGACAAAATGCTGAAAATCTGACGCATTAGTTATAATTGTAATAATGTGACATTTATATCCATACTGAATGCAATTCAGTAATTTAAGAATAAGTTATTAGTGTATATCTGCTTGATTATGACTTTTCATCAGCCAAAACATGTAGAAAGACACCATTGAAATCAATAAACTCACTATAGGCAGTTAATGTGAACAAGATTTTGAGAGTTGTTGTGTTGTGATGGATAAACAAACAATTAGAATATGTTAACACAACAGGATGCATTCCTTGAAGATAGTTGGTATGTATGTATTTGTAGGCTCAGCAGAGTGGGCACATAGTTGGTGGTGCAGGAGTGAACCAGACATTAGCAGATGATACAGAGCGCTTCCTGGAAGCATGTACAGTGGCAGAGTGCCTGCCAGCATCGCAATTGCCAACAGGAGAGGTGGCAACCTTGCAGAAAACAGATAAGCAAACTCATGTTGTGGAAGATGTAGAGTGTAATGCCTATTGCACTGAATGGACCCATCTGTTGTTGGATCTTGGCCACAGTGCGGAGCCCTGGAGACTTCGAAGGGTTCTCGAAGCTTTCAAACTTAAGGTACATACTTTTTAGTATAAATATTATAGTTTGAACCAAATTGCTGTGTTAACTGTATTTACATGAAACATTCTTAGGATGGCCATAAATCCATTAACAAGCATGCAAATTGATTTTGAGTAACTTGTTGCTGCTGCTGCTGCTTAAATCTCCCTTATTCTGCAGTAGTCACACACACATATGTACAACTGATGTCAAAGATAGTTTCATTTCTTTTGTACTTATGTCTTTCAGTTGAAGAAACACCTCTGGGGTGCTGTTTTGCATGTCTGACACGGTAGCATAGTTGGTTGAGGCACTATACTGGAAGGATGCAGTTTTGAATCCAGACAAGGTGGATTTTTTCAATTGATCTAATCCTTCCAGCTGCACTGTGACCCTGGGTCGACTCAGGCTCTAACAGAAATGAGTACCAGGAATCTTCCTGGGGGCTAAAGGGTGGCCGGCACATAAGGCTGACAACCTTACCATCATCTGTGAGCCAATTGTGTAGAGAAAATGTGGGAGCCTCGATGTCACACAGCCTTCATGGCCTGTTACAGGAATAGCTTTTTTTTTTAAGTTTGTTTCATTGCTAATAATTTCCAAAATTTCATCACGGTAAAAAAAAAAGCATTTTAATTTAAGATCTTTTATGGTTTCTGAGCTAGAATTTATTCCAGGGAAACCAGAAAATGTATGACTGTTTACTGGAGCTGTATAGTGTTTCCGTCCTACTTCTGCATTGATTTGTTCTCTAATTGCTGCACATTTCTGTTCCTGCCATCCTTCTGGATGTGGCTGAGAAGGTGGGGTTTCCTCATATTCCTCATCAGGAATATTTGCAGGATTTCAGTGTCTTCGATACATATTGGGGTACTTCAGGATACTTACTGTTGTCTGTAATTTTGAATCTGTGCCATTTATTTATTCAGTGATGCCATCTTTGGTAATATATGATCAACATGAACTGATCCTACCAACTGTACTTGTCCTAGGGTTTTCCATCTCATATGGAATGCACTGCAAAGTAAACTGAGAACATATATCATTCAAGTATTTTTAGAAGAGTGCCAGACCTCTCCTTTGTCATTGACTTGTGTTCCAACATGAGAACAGGTCAAACAAGGGAGGAGCATTCATTGGCAAAGAGAAACAACTTAACAAATTTAGGGATAGTAAATGCAGCCCCTAACTTAAATGTTGCCATTCACATTGCCATTATGCAGAGATATCTGCTGTTGACCCATAAAACTACAAGCTTTGAGCTGCTTGACAGTAAAAATTTTATGTCAGTATTGTAGGTAATTTTTCTACCGTAGATTTTAAAATTTCACATTGGCACTTGTACTACCCTCAGCATCCTGGCCTTGTGATACGTTGTGTGTTCAAGTTCTAAGGTCTCCAATTTTTTTTCCTCACACAATAATCACACAAAAAATTTGAAACTTCTGTCACTTTTCAACATAATCTCCCTGCAGCCATACACATTTTTCACAACGTCGACGCCATGATTCCATGGCCGCTGTGAACGCTTCTGTAGGAGTCTGTTTTGACCACTGGAAAATCGCTGATGCAATAGCGGCACGACTGGTGAATGTGCGACCACGGAGAGTGTCTTTCATCTTTGGGAAAAGCCAAAAATCGCTAGGAGCCCGGTCAGGTGAGTAGGGAGCATGAGAAACCACTTCAAGGTTGTTTTCATGAAGAACCTGTTGTGTTGAGTACACCCCATGAGCTGGTGCATTATCCTGGTGAAAGAGCACACATGCAGCCTTTTCTGGCCGTTTTTCTCGCAGTGATGGAAGGAGCTTGTTCTTCAAAACATCTTGGTAGGATGCACCTGTCACCGTAGTGCCCTTTGGAACGCAGTGAGTAAGGATTATTCCATCGCTATCCCAAAACATGGCCACCATTTTTTCAGCACTGGCACTTACCCGAAACTTTTTGGGTGGCAATGAGTCTTGTGTGCTTCATAGAGCTGACTGGCGCTTCGTTTCAGGATTGAAAAATGGCATCCATGTCTCATCCATTGTCATAATTGATGGAAAGAAAGTCCCATTCATGCCTTCATCACGTGTCAACATCACCTGGCAAATTGCCATGCGTGCAGCCTTGTGGTCATCTGCCAGCATTTGTGGCACCCACCTGGGGGGACACTTTCCGCATTCACAGGTCTTAATGCAGGATTGTGTGCATAGATCCCACGGAAATGCCAACTTTGGAGGCGATGTTTTCCACACTCAATCGGCAATCCTCCAAAACAACTTTCTCAACTCACTCGACCATGTTGTCAGACTGGCTGGTGCGAGGCCAAGATTCTTTTGGTTCGTTGTCGGCCTTCTTTGAACTGTCGCACCCATGAACGCACATTTTTCACATTCATGACACCATCACCACGTGTTACAAAATGTCTACTAAGGTGGGGTCAAAAGTCCTACGGTAGGATGCTAATGGGCCAGGTAGGTCATTAATGCCTGTTTCATTTAACACATAATACAGTAGTATTTAATTCTGATATAAAAAAATAAAGAAAATACAATGGACCTGGTAGATGGTCCTCAATCCATCAATACACAACGGTGAGGACCCAACTCTTTCGTTCTGCTGTATCCTAGGTAGCCCATCCCTTTTGTTCATTTTGTAGAACTTAATTTAGTAAGATATGGGGCCTCCTCAACCTTATTGGGGTCAAATAGCTTGGTAAGCCTGAATTTATTTACTTACAGTCCGTTGGCCCAAGTTTGAACCCCCCCCCCTTTTTCTTCAAGATAGGGCCCACTGGGGCGCCCTCAACTCCCTGCCAGCTACTCCTGCTGTTCCTTCTTCCAAGGCGTCGTCGCTGCCGGAGGAGCCTACGCTACCTCTCTTTCGAGCGTCTCGTTATCCACTACTTGTCTCTCACTGCCTCGTACACTGCTGGTCCCCCCCTCCGCAGATGTAAGGGGGTGGGGCCGCGTGTACAGGACTGCCAAGCGTCTTCCACGGGCATTGTTGCTACATCACCGATGCTTTCCAAAAGTAGCTTTGACAGGAGCGTCACACTCGTAACACATGTCTCACTCAACTGGCAATGAATTTCAATGGATGTTGCACCACGCAAGTGGAGAAAACAAATAATCACTCACTGTTCTTGTAACGAAAATGTCGCCATTTTAGGTATTAAAAACACTCCTCACTCTCGTCACCACCACTAGAGTTCTGTGTGCCGTACTGTGCTGCCATCTCTGTCACGCATTCACAAAGAATGCACACGTATTTTAAAGTAAACTGCATGTGTCTATCTGCTCCCAGTCCTGAGAAAAAAAAAATCAGATATCTTATAACTTGAATGCCCCTTGTACATATACAGCAGCCAAACTTTAAAGTGTTAATATCAAAATACAATCTATAACATGACGTTCACTACTTGTCTGCAGTAACTTCTCACCTGCTTCTGCACTTCACCAACTGAACTGGCTCAGCTCATACGAGAGCTCTACAGTTTTATAGGCATAACATTTGTCATGAGCGCTGAAGAGATTGCAGCCTTCAGTATGGGCTGAGCAGATTCTGAAAGGGGCATGCACACCAAGTGATGTGACCCCTCAACTCCATGCTTAGCTCCTTTGACAATGCTATATAAGCCAAATATGACAGTAGAATCTAAATCAGTATTAGCTACTGATAAAAGAGGATACCATTGGACATGTTCCTCGCGTAGTTCCATCAGTTCCATCTGCTTATCCTCACAGTCTTGTCTCCTGTAGTCCATCATAATGTTATACACCAATTTTCTCATTGTTTCCTAATGGCTCCCCAGCAACATTTTGTATGCATCTCTTGTTTTCTCCCCATCTGAACTACTTGTCCAACCCATTGTGGCCTCCTAGATTTCACTGTCCCTACAGTAATGAGTAACTATTTAAATCATGCAGGGTCTCAGGTTGCAGATGGAGACAGCCTGCAGGTGTAGAGGAGGGTAGGTTTAGGTACGAGTACAATGAGCAGTCAGTCATCAGCAGCTGATATGGAATGGACCTCAAGCTTGCTGGGCATAGCCCTTCTTCATCAAACTTTCCAGTGTTAAAGCTAATTTTCAACTTCATGAACTATACTGGATTAGGTTAATTGCCTGTTCTAAATTAATCGTTTCATTTATCTTTCAGACTATCAAGGATATGAATAGGCTGAAGAGGTTACTGAAGCAGTCAGAGTCAGATCATTACTCACTGTACAGGCAAGTATCTGTAAGTAAGTAAGTAAGTAAGTAAGTTTCCTTAGCTCCTTGTTAAGAAATGCTTGCAATCTTTGGTCTTCCTTGAAAATGGAGATTAGTCACATGTTCATACAAAATCATGGTTAAAGTGATTACTGTATTTTAATATAATTTGGAGTATAGGAATACAGTTTCTGAAGTAAGTTGCTGAATTTATGATCCACGGAGTTTCATTGTTAATGTAACTTGTTGCTTTATGCATGTATGTATGAATGTACACAAAGTCTTATATGAATAGTACTGTAAGTTCCTAAATTACATGCTTAATTTAATCTGAAGGCTTCTGTGTCAGTTAAAAATCATGTGAATTCTAACAGTGCTTAAATACAATATACTTTTTACATGTATGTTCATTTCAGTGGATGGTTAAAACTAAACAAGTGAATACAATAAATAATATACCATATTCTAATATATTGTCACGTGTAGGAGTGATTATAGATGCGGGTTTGGATTGGCAAATCGATTTATTGCATATACCCAGCAAGTTATCACTACAATAAGCTGTAACACTCTGTCTTACTGTAACTATAACACATCATAACTACGAAGCAAGATAACGCTCTAAAGGTTGCTGTGACTGTACCACATAAATAAAGTCTTCAACATCTGCCTACTAAGTTCTCTTCAACTACAAACTGCTCTCTCTGCTGCTCGATCTGCTCTGTACTGCTGTCTGTATACTGCCTGCATGTGTGTTCTGGTCTGTTCTGACCATTCAGGATAACTGAATAGAGATCACTGCCTTCCAGGGTTTCAGTACTGTCAGAAGTTGTTACCATGGATATGCCTTTATTAATACTCTATTGTAGCAGAAACCTGATTATTGAAACATTTGATCTCAAGCAGCCAAAGTTCTATATGTGACTGTGTTACCTAAGAAATATGTTTGATGAGCCGTTACATTACAGTATTATAATTAGGGACTGGAATTTAATGCAAATGCATATATCTTTCTTGCAACCAGAAAGTATGCTCGTTCGGATATATGTATGAATTACTTCATTTCTTAAATTTTGGACATGGTTTGATGGTACATATAAATGTATATTTTGCCTGGTTTATGAATAAGCATCATATTTTCGAAGATCTCTATTTATACTGCATATTTCCTTTTTAAAATGTTTATCATATATATTTTTTAATTTTATGTTCAAATTTTCAGTCATGGTCATGTGTATACAATTTTTCTTTTCCGTATTAGAATATGTTGCATATTTGACTCAACATTTCATCATGATTCATGTTTCTGATGCAATACCCAGGACGGGACTTCCCCAATCCCTCTACTCGTAACTTGCCTCATCCACGTACCATAAAAATGGCCACAAAGAGATTGGTCGGAAGCTTTCACATGTGGTGACTATCAACGTAATACTATTCAACCAATAAGGGACTTCAATTATTTATTTCCGAAGTCTCCATGAGGTTCATTATGCTTCTTCATTTGAAGCTGGGGGCCACTCACATTAGTGGTGACTAGTCTGTAGTTAAGTTTGTTTAGCTTTTTGTAGTCATGCCGAAAGTGAAAGTAAGTCGGAAAACTAAATTACAGCTGTATCAGCAGGAGTTCATATAAGTACGGATAACAAAATTTTTTATTGCAGAGTGTGTGAGAAAACAGTTGGTTGTGAAAATTGCTCTCAAATGCTGAAGCACTTGAAAGCACTAATATACACAAAGAGAATGATCTGATCCTCATGGAGCTGAGCCCTTCTTGAGGAGCCGCCAATTCTGCAGCTACTCAAGAATTTCCCAGCATTTTATGAAACCCGAAGGTTCGTCACCATGTTCACAAGAGCCCTCCACTGGTCCCTATCCTGAGCCAGATCTATCTAATCCATACCATCCCATCCTATATCTCTAAGATCCATTATAATATTGTCCACCCACCTACACCTTGGTCTTCCCTGTGGTCTGTTTCTTTCTGGCTTTCTCACAAATATCCTATACACATTCCTCGTCTCCCCCATTCGTGCTACATGACCTGCCCACCTCATCCTCCTTGACTTAATCATTCTAATTATACTTGGAGAAGAGTTCAAGTTATGAAGCTCCTCATTATGCAGTTTTCTCCAACCTCCAGTGACTTCATCTCTCTTTGGTCCAAATATTCTCCTCAACACCCTGTTCTCAAACACCCTCAGTCTATGTTCCTCCCTTATGTCAGAGACCAAGTTTCACACCCATACAGAACCACAGGCAAAATTGTATTTTTGTATATTGTAATTTTTACGTTTTTGGACAACAGACAAGAAGACAAAAGGTTCTGGACTGAATGGTAGCAAGCATTACCCAAGTTCAGTCGCCTCTTAATTTCCTCGTGAATCAGTTTTTCACAGTTTTCCTTTGATTTATGCAAAGCGTTTTTAGCGGCAGATATTCTGCTGTGGAAACTAACCAATCCTACTCTGAGAAACTTCATAGAGAAGTGTACACAGTGCAAAGTGCCAGATGAATCTACTGTGTGCAAAATTTACGTGAAGCAGTGTTACGATCTTACAATCGAAAGCATTAGAGATAAGCTTGAAGATAATTTTGTGTGGGTATCAATCGAGGAAACACAAGATTGTGATGGACGGTTTATTGCAAATTGTATAGTTTGATCCCTTAATAAGAATGAACAATCTACCCCATATCTTCTTGTGGTAGAGCAATTTGAGCTCCGCAGTTTCTGAACTTTTATCATTTCCATGAATTTACTATGGCTGAATGGCATTCAGTATGAGTGCATATTGCTCTTTGTAACTGATGCCGCAAGTTGTATGATTAAAGCCGGTAGTGCTCTTAAAGTTATATTTCCAAATATGACACGTTTGACTTGCCTTGCCCATGAGTTGCACCGTGTTGCAGAAACAGTTTGTGCAAATTTTCTGCTTGTTGACAAGTTGGTGTCTTCTGTGAAGAAGGTATTTGTTAAAGTGCCATACAGAAAAGAAGCCTTTAAAGCAGTAGCACCGAGTGTTCCACTTCTGTCAGAACCAATTTTAACGCGCTGGGGCACGTGACTGTGTGCAGCGAGTTATTATACTGAACATTTAGAAACAGTTAGGAATGTCAAGAATACATTTGATCCCAAAAGTGCAGCATCAATTCAAATTGCCCAAGATGTACTAAAAAAACGCAGAACTAGAAACTAATCTTTCCTATATATCTGCTCACTTCTCTCATCTTCAATCCACCATTTCCTCACTGGAGGCAAGCAATAGCAATATTACTTTGTATGAGTCGTTAAGTGTGTTCAAAACCACTGTTTCCAAATTGAATTTGGTTCCTGGAAGAGTTGGTGAAGTAGTAAAGGAACAAGTACATAGCATTCTTTAAAAAAATTCCAAGATATGAACAAATTTGTGAAATTGAAGAAATTTTAGCCGGTAAACGTACTGAACTGCCAAGTAAAAAATCACTTATGAGTGGAGCAAATAGCGGCTTTTGTACATGCGCCCCTAAGTTCCTGTGAGGTGGAACGAAGTTTTTCCCGCTATAAGGACATCTTACGAGACAACAGGAGGCGACTAACTATGGAAAACCTAAAACATTTAGTAATTGTGAACTGCAACAGAAGAGAAGTTGAAAGTTCGGGGAGCTAAATGTGAGTACCATTGGTGTTTTAAATTTGTAATGAAATATGTTGGCTTTGTTGCATGATTTGTATTTTTATTGGAAGTGAAACATTCAGTGATTACATAAAATGAACTTAAATATTGATTTGTTGGTCTTAAAATAATGTAAAATCAATTTTAATATTTGGTATAAATTTTTATGTGCATATTTTAGTGCATATTTTGGAAGTTTTTCATGCATAAATGCATACATATTTAAGGGATTATTAGGGCATAAAAATCTAGTCCCTAATTATATTGTTACGTGCTGCCTAAAAGCTGGACTTTGGAGCATATTTCAGCATTCGTTGCTGGTCAACGGATCCCATTTCCTAGACAGAAAGAAATGGAGCACTGGAATTCTAAGAGTGAGTTTCCACGATTACAACGAATTGTTCAAAGCATTGTATGACAACAGGAAAACCAAACTGTTGAGAAAGGTGTTCATAAGCAGTCCGCAAAAGGCCTATTTAAGGGGGTTGAATGGACCAGACAATCAGTTGAGTTCTGGAAGTTGCCAAGAACAGTTCAGTTTGCATTTGACTGTAGGAGAATAGTCAGTAGTCAGTTGGCTTCGACTGTAGCAGTCTGTGTCAGTAGTGACATGGGCAACACGTGACAATATATAAACTCTGTATATCTGGTATTAATGACCACAGAAGTTAAGCTACCTAAACTGTTTAAATAAAATAAAGTACTTGTGTATCCATGTTTCTATGGATTTATGTGATTCAAACCTGTGTAAGTTGGAGACTTGCTGTGTTTGTTTTTGTAGGGCCTATTCGTTTCTATGGCAGTCAGGCAATAGTGACATTCTACTGAGACAGGCCAAGTTGGAGGGCAGCTCTGCTCCAGACATTATTGCTACACTGGAAGAACATTTCAGTTATATCAACACAGAGTGTGCACCCACAGCCATGTAAAACAGAGCATCAAACGTAACTCATTTAAATGAGGAAGGTAGGAGCCCGTATACTCTTTCGATTTAGTGAATATATAATTACTTTACTTCTTTTGGCTTATTTTGGACTTCACCCATCGTCTGTTATATAAAAGACAAAAAAACCATGACGTTTCGGAGACTGGATCTGTCTCTGTCTTCAGGTGGATAGGGAAGGATAAACCTATCAGATTACAACACCCGCAACCAAATAGGGAACACGCAACACGACACACGATATACCCTGAGAATAAGAGGAACGACTCCCATAGTGGTGAAACTATGCACGGTGTTAGCATTGGGACAGATAAGATAAATAATCTTAACAAGTTTTTAGTATATGCATATACATTTATTATAATTGACGAATATTTTTAAATACTTCTTACATTTTTNATATACCAGACGATGGGTGAAGTCCAAAATAAGCCAAAAGAAGTACAGTATACACCATCGTCAGAATCCTTTCAAGTCTATATAATTACTTCTTTATCATAAAAAAGTTAAAGTTGTCCCTGTATTTTAATAGTACTGAAGAACTGTTTGTTATGTAGACTTTAATCTTTTTTCCAGTAAAACTTTTTTGGTCTCATTACAGCAAGTGCACCAGCAAAACAACAGAAAATTTTGAGAAAACTCGATAACTCATCCACAAAGACCATCACTGAACAATCCATGAGCTTGCAGACACCGTTGGGATCAGTTATGGAGTTTACCAGATCTTAAAAGAAAATTTAAACGTGCCCCACATTGCTGCGAAGTTTGTTCCCTCACTCTTGACAAATGATCAAAAGCAGCAGCATGTAAACATATGTCTTGAGCTATGAGAGCAGGCTAAGGAGGACCCAACTTTTACCCACATCTCTAGGATCATAATGGGTGACGAAAGTCGGATTTATGGTTATGATCCAGAAACAAACAGTCGTCACAGTGGAAGAGCCCACAATCACTAAGAGCAAAAAGGGCACAGCAGGTCGAGTTCAACAAAGTTGTCATCCTCCCCCCCAGACATGAAGGGGATTGTTCACCATGAATTTATTCCTCCTAACACTACAGTCAACTCTGACTTTTACTGTAAGGTTTTGACATGCTTGAGAGAAAATGTGCGACGAAAAAGACAGGAATTTTGGTGCAACCATAACTGGTCCCTTCAGCACAAGAATGCACCCACCCACACATTCTTGAAAACCAAAGGGTTTTTGACTAACAACAAAATGGTTATCATTCCCCATGCTCCCTACTTGCTGGTCTTGGGTACCTGTGATTTTGTTTTGTTTCCCAAATTTAAAATGAAATTGAAGGGACTAAGTTTGAAACAGTGTCTCACATCCAAAGGGAATCACAAATGATACTCAACAGCATTAAAGAAAATGATTTCCACATTTCTTTTGAAGCATGGAAAAAACGATGGGGGTCACTGTATTTGTTCTAAGGAGACTATTTTGAAAGAGATGGCAGCCAAAATTGATTAAGTTAAGCGAGCATTCCTATTTTGACCTAGTCTGGGAACTTTCCAATAGCAATTGGTGAGTACTTGTCCTTCGTTGTGGTATGGAGTCTACATTAAAATTCCATTACCCTTTACCATCACCATCCCATGCTTAGGAGTAAATGGAATCTTACCATTTGAGAGTTCTTTCATCAGGTTGCTTTCTCATTCATAAGGTGTGCAGAAGCCAGAAAGCATTAGAAAGCTTGGGAAGGCATATATTGTGAGGAGTACCTACATCTTGCACCTGTATTGCAATTTTATCTATTGTTGCAGAGCTAATCACACTGCAAGGAGTTTGAAATTAGGTTTTTTTGTATTTTTAAATACTTCACATCAAAATATCTTACAGGTAGTTGGTGTATATCTTAATAATATCTATATTTTCTGTCATTTACCAGTTTTTTTTGTACAATAAACCATTTCCAAAAATGACTAATAAAGTAGTTTTGCTTGCTAAGTGGTAGTCATAGTAGCTGGAAGTAATTTAAAAATCAGATGAAATCATATGCATAGGTTTCAGGTGATATTTTCACATTAAAATCAAGAACATGTCAAAATCACATTGCTGATTGCAATATATGTATTTTTGAGACTCGACAATATTATACAAAGAATTATAAAATGTGATTGATGCAATAAATAAAACATAAATATACATACTAGCTAAATGTTCATTTGTCTGTCTGTCCCATCCCATGTCTTCCCAATGGAAAAGAAAAAGTTGTTACTCCTCGTGATACAACACTGGGAAAATTGTTAGTTTTGATGTTACAGGCATGTAAGAAGAGCATTCAGGCTGTGACTGCAATGAGCATGTAAAGTTCATATGTTTTATAGTAATCGTGGAAACGAAGCATGTTTTAGGTTATAGTATTGTCACACGACAAATAACTTCACACCGTCTTGGATATAGCGAATTTATTTCACTCGCTCATACATTTACACAATTTGCAGTTTCACAGTTACTGCCATCTGCTGTAGTCACTGCTCTTGGCGACTTCACAATCTACACTGTGTCACTCCTGAACACGCACTCTGACTCACGTAATTCTCAGCCGGCTTTTTATACCATTCCCTGTTGCCTCATGTTACCAGCAGTGTCCCCTTGTTACATCACAGTGGGAAGTGCTGTTACATCACCGCGGGTGAAGGGGACGGAGTGTTGACTGGCCTGTTACCGTAGCAGCAGCAGTTGCTCTGATGCTGTTACGTCACCCCTGGAGGGGGGTGTCCTGCATAGCGCAAATACGTCACACTATGATATTCTTCCATATTTATTTGTTATGTATTCAAGTAGTTATTATGTACTACAATTTTATGTATATGGAATTCCAAAGACAGGCCATTTTAGTGCAGAACACAATTTTCTTTATATAGCCTGTCCAACAAGAATGTAGTTCTGAATGTCAAAAATTACAGTAGTCCTAGAATTTAGGGTAACCACCATTATCCATAAATATAGCTTCTGAAATGGGAGTGCATATTTTTATTTAAGGGCTCACTGTCGGCTGTATATATTAATCTATCACATTGTATGTTCCATGATTGTCTGATGAAAAAATTGTAGAAGAGGCAGAACCCTACAGCCCCAGTATTGGTGGAATTTTAGATGGAAAATAAATCATAAAGTTACTCCACATTTTACTGATAATTTATCTCTCCTGCCTTAAAATTTTCTGCTGGTTAGTTTTTATAATACTCATGTTTGTAATATTTCCTCAGAATGACATTTGTCAAATGTATTGCAGTGTTTCCTGCGTGTTAGTAAAAATAAATATTTTTCCTGGATTGATGCTTCTGCTTTCTGTAATTTCAGAGGAAAGAATGCCTGCAGATAACTGTCACAAATAGACTTCTATAGTAGTATGGGAATTCCTGACATTAAATAATGAGGCAAAATTTCATTACTGCACACTTAAACTTGTTAAAAAGGAGATGATAAAATTCTGAAGAATGTCTGGAAGTTGCTTAGTATGCCATCATCTTTTTGAGTGAGAATGAGTAAGGACAAGTGTCACTCCTTATATTTTCACACATACAGTATGAGCAGTGTTTGAAATTTAAATATCCAAATGTAATTTCAGATTAGCTCAACGAAAATATGTGTGAAGTAAACACAATAGACATAGGAGTACAGATATATTTTTATGGGGGCTGCACTGGAAACTCAATTGACTCTACTCACAAAATTTCCTTCTGGAGCAGTGTGGGCTTCTGGTAATTGTGTATAGTAGAAGGAAGTATGGAAATATTAGTGAGCATGAAGAAGCATTGATTTAGAGCTGTTGACTTTCCTCCCTCCTGCAGACCAGGGGCCACTACAAAATAGTAGAACAGTAGAGGTTGGCCCTACTTTAAGCACTGATCACAACGTTTTGTCCTGCTTTGTAAAAGAAAACTTTGTACAGAGTCAACTTTGTTGAAGTGGGCAAAGTAATGTTATCAATACAGCCTGAATATTAAGAGGAACAGTGTCAAAATAAAATACATTATGTAAGTTGCCTGGTCTGTTCCATCCCAATCTTTCAGTACCATCACTTTATACGCTGGGATCCATCTGCATTCATTCATCTATTGGTGGCAGCTACATGTATCTGAATGAAAGCCATTCACCAAAACATCAGATTTACTGCTTTACAGTGTTATTTAAAGTTTACATGCAGAAGAATTTGATGTTATCATACGTGACAATTATTATAATCTGGTATGAAAACATTTCTTTCGAACAAAAAGTTCTTATGGTCTCCAAGTAACATAGATCAGACATGGAGAAACATAACTTGGGACTAGGAATTTTATGTGTGAGAAAATACCAAATTATATATATATATATATATGTGTGTGTGTATGTGTGTGTGTGTGTGTGTGTGTTAATGTAGATTATCAGGCAGTATTCATAAAATAGTTTAGTGTGATATTCTAGAAGTTTTTTGCAGGGATGTACTGAAGCAGAAGTGATGGCCTTTGTACTACAAAAAAAAACTGTGGCCTGTAGTCAGCAAGCAGACTATACTGACCGAGCGACTGCCGCTTGTCAGCAAAGTTAGTGCCAACTTTTGCGGATAGAGGGTATACTTGGTCAGCGTAACAGATCCACACAGCCGTTAATCTCGGTTTTCTAAACCAAAGCTGCTATTGCTTTGAAATAGCTCCTCAGTTATTCTCACGAGGCTGAGTGGACACTGTTCTAGACCCACTACTTCTCAGAAAATCTGGTATCGCTGGTAATCGAACCCGGGACCTGTGGATCTGTAGGCAGGAACTCTGACCACTAGACCACAGAGAGACTACAACATAAAATTCGCTTGTGAAATTGTGATCCAAACAGAATGATTCTACCATACCTTGTGTGTCATATGTCAGACTGGCAGTATTGACTTACTGCTGCTGGGCGTAAGGACAAGTTTGTAGAAGACAGACACACTAAATAAGCGCCTTTACTAATAGCATTATAGAACAAGAAACAGGGGCCATACTCATTTGACAGAATTATAGGGATTTCTTCTAGCGAAGATACAAACTAGACCAAAATACTTAATACAGTGACAAAAAATGTGGTTGACATGGTTATGAAAGTAAAGTTTAGTATCAATAAATATTCCCAGGTCTTTAATATAGTCGGTCCAGTTTGTAAACAGTATGTTTAGTTTTACTCCTGTTGAGTTTCATACAGTTAGCAGTGCATCAGCCTTGTATAAAGTTAACATAAGGCAGTAGTAGACTGCAGTCTTGAAGAGATTTGATGGCTCGGTAGATGCTGATATCATCAGCAAAAAGTACATACTTCGAGTTGGAACTGTATCACATAAGTCATTGCTAAAATTATTGAGAAGGGATGTGGGTTTGTAATTGCTAACAAGACGCTATTGGCTTTTATGAGAACAGAAACAACCACTGCTTGCTTCCATGTGGTAGAGAAAATACTACACTCAAGTGCCAAAACTCTTGTGATAGCAGTATGTAAATGTATTTTTAAATGGCGCCACCATTCCTTGACGGCTTGGGAATGCCCAGAGCAGTATGAGTTGTGTGATGTTCTCTCGTGAGTCAGGTTGAACACCGGCCAGCCTGCTCATGGCAAGCCAACATGAATTATCGAAGTTTGAACGGGGCATGATAGTGGGTGCCAGGCGGATGGGACCTTCAATTTCCGAAATTGTGCGGTCATTCAACATTCCTCGATCCACGGTGTCACGTGTGTACCGGGAATACCTTGTGGAAGGCATTTCCACCCACTGTGGACAGCGCAGTGGCCGACCATGGGTGCTTAATGATCGTGACCAGCGACGTCTAGCT